TCTAGCGGCTTTGCTGGACCCCCACAGCAGACCAGGGAGACCGGGAGAAGCTTTTCTCGCCCCGGAGGACACGGGTGGCGACCTGCCGCCTGTGAGCTCCAGGGCGAGAAAAGCCCTGTTCGTAAGTGCGGATCCGACGTAAGTCGGGGACTGCCTGTAGTTAAAGACTTGCACGGACACAAATTTCTGTTTGTGGATGCAGACATCCGTGGACAAAAATCAGTATCCAGGGCTCCACTCCAAGGAGATGCTGAGGCCAAAGGAGAGGAATGTGGTGCTGCTGCCATACTCCTGCATGGCTGGAAGGCGCTGCTGCCGTGGGGCATTGGCTCCTGGTCACCATGGCGACAGCATCTTCTGTGAGTCAGCAGATAGCAATTTCTGTCTACAACTCTACGTATCTGCAGGGAGTAATGTGTATCCCCTTAGGGGGCGACAAACCGGGTCCTGCCTTGTTTTTCCTATCCCAGGCAAAGTCACTGAGACACAGTGACCCCCATACTGCACCCCAGAAGGGTAACAAAGCACCACAATGGTGACTAACAAACCCTTTCAGGAGGGGAGTGAATCAAAGGCAGGGCTTTACTCTACAAAACTAACCAACGAGGAGAGAGAGAGGGATGTGGGGCTTGCCATGACACATTGGGAATCTGGGCTTTTGGCTTCCGTTCCTAGCCCTGCCATGGCTGTGCGACACTGAAGGAGTTATTTCCCTTCTTTGCAAAATGGGGATAACGCACACCCACTTCATAGAGGGCTTGTGAGGCTTAATGCTTGTAAAGGGCTTTGACCATCTTGTGTGAAAGGAGGTAGAGAAGGAGTAAATATTGTTTACAAACTTCTGGCTTCAATTTTGGGGGCGGCCTTGTCTTTCCTAAGGTGAAGGCTGAGTCTTGAGAGTCTGCAGAGCAGTGGTGTATTTGTTGATTTATGGTGAATTACTTTATACCAGTGTTTCTCAAACTGTGCTCCACGGAACCCCGGGGCTTTGCGAGACATCTCCGGGGCTCCGCGCGGTTGACAAACTGGAAACATCGATAGGTACAACACATACAATCAGTGGACCGCTGGGGCTCCGCATACATTTTTACGCATGTAAAGGGCTCTGGAGTCCAAAAAGTTTGAGAATTGCTGCTTTATACAACAGCTTTGGAGGGTGGGGGGTATTTTGATCTCCTTCTCACAAGTCCAGCAGCAAGTGCCTCGGGCCAGTGGCGAGGGGGGTGCAGCAAGCAGTCCAGGAAGGGCCAGGGAGGCTCCTAGAGCAATCGGGGCTCTTCAGCTGCTGCTGCATGGCTGGGGCGTGTGACCCGTCTCGATGCTGCAATGCCCCATTTCTTGCGTGGGAAAGGACCTCAAGCTTCCTGCTTGCCACAGGGTTTAATCAAGTGATTGACGGGAAGTGTCCTCTTGGGGAACTTCGGTGAGAGGGGTTGCAGTCAAGTTAGTGACACTTCGTGCCTCACATCCAGCCTTTCTTCAGCAGGGGCAAGAGCTATGGGGAACCTGCGATTAACAGTTTCTGTTCATGCGACAGCCTGAACGGGCAGTGCAAGGGCATTTTATCTTAATCTACTTCAGGGATTCCTGCAATAAAGCTTGTTCTGTTGAGTACACGGCAGTTCTTTGATTTGGGGTGGGGGATGGGACAGAGGGCTGGTAAATATATTTCTGTACTTTTGTTCAAACTCAGCTCTTTTTTTCTTCTCCTTCCTGCCCCTTACAGAACCCTGAAAGGGAAGCTGGCCAAACAGTATCCAGAGGCTTTCAGCAGTGAGTGTCTCCTTGGTTTTCACTCTGATTTACAGCCTTTTATACTGGCTTCTTTCCATTCTGATAAAGCAGTCCTGCTTGGCAACACAGCAGTGGTTACACTAGAGTCCCGGTGCATCCAAAGCAAAAGAGAAATGTTTGGGCCAGGGGCTGGTTGCTTGCAATTGAGAGTATCTACAGAGATTTTTTTTTTTTAATGTTTCTGTGTTATCCAGTGAAACGTGGCGGTGTGTAGGGTATGGCTGCCAAGTTGAATGTACATCAGAGCAAAAATGCTGGCAGGTTTTTTGTTACTACAATAATGAGCTGCCAACATTTTTGGAAGTAGAAATTGTAAGTTCTAGCACTTTGGCTATGTCTAGACTGCAGGCTTCTTTCGAAAGAGGCTCTTTCGAAAGCATCTTTTGAAAGAGCCTCTTTCGAAAGATCGCGTCTAGACTGCAGGCGGATCTTTCGAAAGAGAAATCCGCTTTTTCGAAAGAGAGCACCCAGCGAGTCTGGATGCTCTCTTTCGAAGACGGCCTATTTACATTGAAGAACGCCTTCTTTCGAAAGAGGAACTTTCGAAAGAAGGCGTTCTTCCTCGTAAATTGAGGTTTACCGCCATCGAAAGAAAAGCCGCGTTCTTTCGAAATAATTTCGAAAGAACGCGGCTTGAGTCTGGACGCAGGGGAAGTTTTTTCGGGAAAAGGCTACTTTTCCCGAAAAAACCCCTGAGTCTGGACACGGCCTTTGAGTCTTTCCTGCCTCCATTTCAATGGTGTTTGGGGTGCACTCGTCTGTTTCCTCTTGCTGATCCCTCTACTATGTCTTTACTCTGAGTAGTTGGAGCAGCCTATATGGCAAAGATACCTAGAGTCCTGTCACCTTTATACAGATAGAATAAACAGCAGAGGTAACAGTTCTGTGTCTCCTTTCAGATGTTCACGAATCTCCAATTCTAGAAGAAGATGATGACTTTGACCCTATTCCAAAAAGCACAGCAACCACAATTGCTACCTCTGAGCAGAGCACAGAGTCTTGTGATACAAGCCCTGACATTATTTCTCCAACCATGAGTCAGGATTTTGAGGATTTATCACAAGGCCGGTACGATTCTCCTGCTGTTAATGGACAGAGTCTAACAGATGATGAAACGGCCAATGGGCTGGACTAACTCCTACTCAAAACTAAGGCATCGGCTGAATCAGCTGCGTGGACTCGGAAGCGTAACCAGAGAACTTCCTGTCCTGTATTTATATTTCTGTGTTTCCTTGGCCATTCATGTTTTTGTGGAGAGAAGGAAAGTATTTAAACCTGCCATCGTTATGCAAACGTCGAGCCTTGATCTGGCAAACGTGCAACATGCATGGATTGAAATGCCTCTTGTCTGTTTTGTGTGTTCAGGGGAGAGCAGTAATCCCAAAGGTTAGTTTTGAATGTTTAGTTTCTGGACAAATACAGATCTAGGAGTAACTGCTTTTGTTTGTACTTAAATAATTTGTTTTACACACAAATCTTGAGGCTCTGTAACTTACAATGCATGCAAACCCAAACTATAGCCTTCTCACTGGCATGGTACAAATATCTCTCAGCTGTGGCTTGCAGGAGCTTGTACTTGCAAAGCAACAGTAGCTTGCTTTTTGGGGTCTTCTCTGCCTTCTGAGAGGCCAGCCTGCACTACAGGGCCATGTAGCTAATTAGTATATACCAATGATTTCTCTAGCACCTACAGAACATCTTTTCCCACTCAGTGGCCAGAACTTAAAGTCTTCTTTCCTTAAGTGCTCAGCTGTCCTGTGGCACACCTTGGATTTTCATGAGGGAATCTTTTTTTAGCTGCACTTACTTTGCTGAAAGGAACAGTTTGACAACTGCTATGGCTGTACTTTGCTCTCTGTAGTGTTCATTACATGTAAATTATCAGTTTCTTTGGGTAAAACCTTTAATTTTTCAAACAGTGATAAAAAAACACACTGTACCGAAATGTCTTTGTCTGTTTTCACCCAATTTTTCCACTGTCTGTGTTAATATAATGCTGAGAGCCGGGATAGAAATAACTAAATCTATTGTAAACCTAGGAGGGAGCGGAAAGTCACCTTCTAATCCTCAGCTGTGATCAACATATTTCCAGAAATATAGTGAAAAGAAAATATTTTTGTACTGCGTGTTTACAAAGGATAGAAAAAACTTACAGATAGAGACTCCATTAATAAAAGTCCATCCAAACCACTTAAAGCTCCTTCTTTATTAGGTGGAATTTGTGTCAATTTTTGTTGAACACAGGTTAGGGACCCAGGACTCAATTGTCTGGCTTACACGTGTGCTATTGCTCACAGAGCCTGCCATATTCCTGACAATGGAGTGGGACACCCTCCCACCACAAGTCACCACTAGAAGGAGGCTGGTCACGCGCGCGCGCGCGCGCACACACACACACACACAAAGCACACTCCGTCTTGCTGTTGTTACCAACGAGTTGTTCCCCTTACCTGCACTGGCCAGGTGAGTTAGATGGGGGAGGGGTGGAGCCGGGCTTCTGCGGATCCGGATCGATGCTCCGATGGTGACAAGACGAAACCCGGGGTCCTCTGCAAGACACCTCACTTTCATAGCATCCCTCTCATGTGCAAATATATCCCAGATTCAAACTCTGGGTCTGTGTCCCTTTTGGTCCCTTTGTGCTGCAGAGAGGGTGTTTTCCATAGAAGGTGCCTGCTTCTAATCCCCAAGGCCTTCAATATGTCTGCTCTTCTTTCTTCAGCCCACTTGACACCTTGGATCTGGCTTCCATCCCCTCTTCAACTGGTGTAGCTGTCTGGAGGTGCTTGGCTCCCAAGTCTTACTCATTCACACCTCATTCATTCAACAGGGCAATTGATTACAGAGTGGGGGAATAGTGATAGAAATGTAGCCTTGTTAGTCTGGTGTAGCTGAAACAAAATACAGGACTATGTAGCACTTTAAAGACTAACAAGATGAAAAGATCTTGTTAGTCTTTAAAGTGCTACATAGTCCTGTATTTTGTTTCAGAGTGGGGGAAAGAGAGTGGGGGGAAAATCTTACTCTACTCCTAGCCAAAGACATTTTTACCACTTTAACTATATATTCAGTTTTCTACAAGTTTTCTGTATAGGGTTCTAATACAAAGTTACAAGGTTATATGGAGAGGCACAATGTCAAATCATATGAAGCAATATATAATACATAGATTTATCTACACTACTACCCGGGGCATCCCATTATAGGGGACGCCACACGGGGCTGCCGGACCGGGCGGGGGTGGGGCTGCACATGGGTCAGGCCCCCAGGGCGCACAAATGGCTCGGGCCAGCCCTGTGTGTATAGACACACTAACCTCTGGCCATTGCAGGACAGTTTGATTTCTCTAATAGCTGTAGTGGCTATAGCTCTTTTAGTCTATAACATAAGGGATATAGGAGTGGTCCTAATTATAGAGATGAGATCACTACACCATGATGAAGAGTGTGAGTTAAGTGAGAATAAGTGCAAAATAGGTGAGCTTTGCTACCCAAAGGGAAGGCCTGTTTCGAGAGTAGCAAGGTCAGTGCTTTATGAACTACCTTGGCTCCTAATACAAGGTAAAATATTTGACTAGCACTTGCCAGTGACACCACTAAATGAGCTGCAGCAATATAAATTGCCTAGGCAAGTGAAAATCCACTACAAGGATCACAACCTCCCCCCTCAATTTTATATCCAAATACAGAAAAGTGGCCATGCCGGTGGAAGGCTGTCACTTCACCAAAGGAATGAGGTAGCATTTTAAAGCTTCATTGTTATTAAAAGTGAATTTAGTGTTGGTGCTATCTACATTTATAAAGTATTCCTTCTGTAGAGCCAGGGCCTGCTTATGGCAGGTGAACAGTATATACTCAGAAAATTACTTCCCGAGGTGAGCAGAACTGATTGAAGACTTTCCCTTTACTGAAAAAAGAAAGTTAAGAGTGAGAGAAAGAAGTAGTGCAGACCTGCTACTACCAACCACCGTCAAATCCCCCAACGCTCTCAAGTTGTATCCTAGACTAAGGCTAAGTCTACACTGCGGGCTTCTTGTGCACGAAGTCTTTTGCGCAAGAGTTCTTGCGCAAAAGATCTTGTGCAAGGGTGCATCCACACTGCCATGTTTTTGCGCAAGAGATGTGCTTTTGTGCAGGAGCATCCATGGCAGTGTGCACGCTCTCTTGCACAAGAAAGCTCTGATGGCCATTTTAGCCATAGCGGTTTCTTGCGCAATAAACCCGTTGCCCGTCCACAAGAGCAAGACTTGCCCTCTTGCGCAAGAGTTGCAAGAGTTCTTATTCTTCATGGGGAGAGGAATAACTCTGACACTTTACTGTAAATTTACTTGCGCACGAACGTGCGTACAGTGTAGACGCTCTGCAAGTTTTTGCGCAAGAACAGACATTCTTGTGCAAGAAGCCTGGAGTGTAGACGTAGCCGAAGAGCTTTGTCTCTTACCATTAGATGTGAAGCCCCAAACAGAATGCAGAACTGTGTTGGTATTTTATCTATCCCCTGGGAACCAGCTTCTTAACATTTTGGCAGCTGTTCTACTGTGCACAATACTGCTAAAACACTTGGGACTCTGGGCTGTGATAGGCGGTGGTGTGCCATGTGAGCATGTGTGTATTCGCATGTGTGTGTCGATGGAATACATAGGGCACTGGTGTGTGTGTGTGTGTGCATAGGGGACATGTGTGTGTGTGTGTGCATAGGGGACATGTGTGTGTGTGTGTGCATAGGGGACATGTGTGTGTGTGTGTGCATAGGGGACATGTGTGTGTGTGTGTGCATAGGGGACATGTGTGTGTGTGTGTGCATAGGGGACATGTGTGTGTGTGTGTGCATAGGGGACATGTGTGTGTGTGTGTGCATAGGGGACATGTGTGTGTGTGTGTGCATAGGGGACATGTGTGTGTGTGTGTGCATAGGGGACATGTGTGTGTGTGTGTGCATAGGGGACATGTGTGTGTGTGTGTGCATAGGGGACATGTGTGTGTGTGTGTGCATAGGGGACATGTGTGTGTGTGTGTGCATAGGGGACATGTGTGTGTGTGTGTGCATAGGGGACATGTGTGTGTGTGTGTGCATAGGGGACATGTGTGTGTGTGTGTGCATAGGGGACATGTGTGTGTGTGTGTGCATAGGGGATGTGTGTGTGTATGTGTGTGTGTGAATGCATAGGGGACACGTGTCTGAACATAGGTGCGTGTGCACAGGATGTTGGTGCGGGGTGACTGCATGGAGCATGCATGCCTATGAGGCGCATCATGCGGCGCATGCGCACACACCTAGAGGTGCCTGACGAACTCCCCGGCGCGCGCGCCGCCCCCGTGCGGGCAGCAGCCGCCGCTGCGCTGACCCCGCCCCTCCCCTTCCACCAGAGAGCTGACGGGAGGGGGGCGGGGCG